AATTAATTGGCGGACAAACTAAAAAGTTTCTAAAACACAATTTTAGTTTTTTCAACTCTAAATTATTATTAGTCAATTTTATACATCTGCCAACTTTAGCACTTACAGTCTTAAGTGTCCAGAATAAGGAATTTAACTTTTATTTGAGAGTTTTGCATTAATTTTACCACTAAATAATTATTTAAATTTATCCTCGGTCGTACTATTGAAATTAATAATTCATTATACAATGGAAAATTGCCGTCTATACACAAGAAAACAAAACTACAAAGTAAGAGTCTAAAATTTTTTTCATTAATAATCAATATTTCCAATAATATTCACCAATGTGCTACTGATTCTTCTATAATTAAATAGAGTAAAAAACAAATGTACTCTTCATGTACAAATGTACTAGAAAATGAAATAAAACTTCATTTTATTCGGATAATATTGAAAAAAAGAAATAAGCAAAAATTGGAAAAGCGAAATGGAAAAGTTTTGAATTTTAAATATGTTAAAATTTTTGGATTTTTTTTTTTGCCTTTTTCGACCCTGTTATACTCAATTTTTCTTTTTATTCTTATTTATATACTTTTTCATTTTTTTAAAAAAAACTCGTACAATATTTGCATAACCACAAGAAAAGAAAAAAAAACAAATATAATTGAGATTTTTGTGGGTCAAACTTTGAAAAAAAAATGAAAAAAAAAAAAAAGTTTTTACTAAAAAATTCTTGTAAGAGGACTAAATGAAATAAATGCTCTGAAATTAAATAAGAATCAGATTTAAAAATTAAATATCATGTTAAAAAAAAATTTCAAACTTTTAAAAAAATTCAAAAATTTCATAAAAAAGTTACAAAATTGTAATTTAATAAAAAACTAAGTTTGAAGTGAAAATCATTCAAGCATCACTTCTTCTACAATAAGTTTACAATTTGTTTTTATAAAACTATATTAGTTATAGAACTGTAAGTAAGTTGTGATTATGACCATATACATAAAATGAGTATATCATTGGGAAAAAGTTGAGTTGTTCCTAATAAATGCAAATACCATCTATATGCTTACTGTTACTCAATTATTGACCAAACACAAAACTAAAAAAAATATAAACTTTTATAACTTGTTAGAAAATATTTTAATTAAAATATTGTACAAATTTTAAAATTTCATGTGATTATGGCCAAAATATTTCAATATCGTATGAGTATATATAGTTTGTATAGAAAAACTAGAAAAATGGAAACGATTCCGAAATTTCTATGAACATTTTTCATATTAATTTTAAAAGAAATTGCTTCAGTTTATTTAATTATGAGGATAAATCACTTCATTATTAAATTTCAATCTATTATTAAATCTACTCGATATTCAAACCAAATCTTTAATCAACACGTTTATCTAACATTTGTACGTCAGATGATTGCTTAGTACAAGCATTTAGTATAACAAAATTAACGTCGTTTAGTCAAAGACGTGTCTATCAGTTACTAGAATTAAAATCGCTATCGTTTATAAATGGAAAGGGTATAGGGAAACGGAAAGCAAAAATAATATTAATAGTATTAATTTAATATTAATATTTATATTAAAAATTAAACAACCAAAACCAAACGTATACAACTACTGCAAGGTGTGCTAAAAGAAAACGTCGCATATACTATGAGTAAATTGAGCAAAATCAATGCTAACGTATAGTCCTTAAGCACTCTCTTACTTACATTAGTACAAAAAAGAAATTCGACGGTACCCACCACGTAACCCACAAGTTTATGAATGAAAACTATATCAGAAACCACCCTACAACAATGAAGCAACCTTACGTCAAAAAACTGAAGCCTACTCTCATAAGGGAACAACTTAAATGGATACGGATTCGAAAGGCTTATCAAACTGTGATAAGCCTTTAAATCGAACCTACAATCCAACGTAACACATGGGTCACAAATTCGATCAACTGTCTATAGTATATGTTCATTAAGTTTATATAATCAAATTTTAGCTTAGCACAGCTTGGCTTTTAGCACAGAATAACACCTTCTTGAATTTACATATCAATCTCAATATTGACAAATTTTTACAATATGTCTAAAGTAATGGCTGTATTCAATTTAGCATAAAAAGCACTCTAAACAAATCTTATTGAAATCTAATACTATGTTGTATATCAAAGTAATTCTAATATACGCAGGAGTAAAAACCAACCTATAAATTGAAATTTTAATAGTTCCGAATTTATTTCTGTTTAAAAAAAAAATAAGAGCCATCTATCAGAATAAATTCATATGTTATGTACAACACTACTTCTTTGTCAAAATTCGTGTTTCGAACTGTAAAAGAATGTATATAAAACATATATACAATAAAAATCCCTCAACCCCTCTGTAATAAAATATTGTTCACATATCATGCAAGTACCTTGCACGTTTTGTAAGGCAATCGGGTTCCATTATTCTACTTTTTATTTATTAATTTTAGTTTTTACTCTTTCACTGTTTAGTAATTACACACACAAGTATAAATTTTAACTAATCCTATTTATTCAACTAAAATATCACTGGACTATTTTAGCAACACGTAATTGTGAATATATATATATGTATATATATATACATACGTAAAGTGAGACATATTCGTGCTTATATTTACAACTTAATTAAACTTGAACACTATTAAGTAAAAGCCCTAAATATACAAAAGTTAATCCTATTTGAAATAGGAAACAAAAACCAAAAAGAGAGAGAGAGAAAAAAAAACGAAAGCATTTAATTATAATATTTTTCTTTGATAACTTTAATCTGTTTATCTCGTTCTAGCTTCTTTTCCCTTATTGTCTCATTTGCCTTATATTTTTCTTTCTAAGTAATTATAATTTCACATTTATCTCTCTATCTCAGTTACATTGCTATTACAAAATTCATATACCAAAATATTTTTAATGAAAACCATTCTGCAATCCTCTTTACCACCTTTAAATAATTAAAAATACCTTAAATAAATTTTAATTAGAAACGAAAAAAAAAATATAGAGAAAAAATGAAAATTAACCAACAAGTATTATGCAAATATGTACTTAAAAAATATTACAAAATTTTAATTCTTTCTACTTCAAAAAAAATAAAGAAATGAAAACATAGAAATGGAAAAAAATTAAACGTGCAAACGCAATTTACCAAACAACAAAAAAAAAAACAAACAGAAGAAAAAAAATTAAAATAAAATAAAAAAATTAAGTGGAAAAATTGCTAATTCCATTAATCCTCTTGAATCTCTAAAAACCAAAATAAAATAAATAACAGTAATAAAGGATGAGGAGGGGGGGTATTCATGGTAAAGCAGGCAATGTTTTATTTTTGGTTAATTTACGTAAGTCTACAAACAAACACAAAATAAATTGTCATTCATTCGCAGGACTCTTCTTTGTTTTTCACTTTCTTATTATTGCTAGTATCCTTTATTTAATATAATGAAATTAAAAGAAAAATAATAAATAAATTTTACTTATTTTTAGTCACACTCACTATAGAGAATAATTTTATCTTAGTATTGCTTTAAGGAGAATTTTTAAATTTAACAACGTTTACAAGTTTTTAATGCGTTTAAGAGCACTGTGACTTCAAATATTGCTACACATGTATGTTTTCATATGAAAATTGAAAAGACACGTGAAATGGGAATTGAAAAGCTCTAAGACATTAAATTTCTTGTACATCTTTTGTTTAGTTCACGCAAAATTCAACATTGTCATTATCTTTACTTTTGAAATTTAATTTATGATTATTCTTAAATTTCGAAAATTGCGTTAGAAAACGAAAAATATCTAAAACAGAAACTTAAATTTGAACTTAGATATCGTTTTCTTAACTCAAAAAGTGATTTTCAAACACACTTTTCTACTTAAATTTATCGGTAAACTGCAATTCGGAATAAATTGCATACTGTAAAATTGTACTCCATATGATTATTTCATTAAATTATTTTTCCGATTTTTCCATTTTTTGAAACGGTGTACAGTTTTCCCGAATACTTCTAAATTTGTATTAGTTTCATTGATTTAATTTATAATAATACAAATTTTAAGTAAGTAATTTTTAATTTTCGTAGTGCTACTATTTCTCCCCTACTTATTTAAGACCATTATTTTTAATAAACGGCTTATATTTTTATAAATAAATGAAAAAACTTTCTTTCTAACATAAGCCTGCTCCAAGAAAATGTAAATAGTGTTTATAATAATTAAATAAACACATAAACATTAATATAAATTTTGAAAAACCAGTTTCCAAATTAGAAACAAAATTCGAAATACTTAATATTAATTTATGCCAAAACAACAATAACGGTAAAAATGTAAAAAGTTTAAAATTATAAAAATACCAAATTGTACCTAAAAACTTACCGAAAATTGAACTAAAATGCTAATGAATACCCTTTATAACTGAGATAGAACAATTAAAAATTCAAATATTTTATTTTTACAAAAATATTAATAAGTAAAAACAAACATTAAGTAAATCATAAAGTAAAAAATAACAAAAATAAAGTTTGTAATTAAAACTTCGCTTAATAAATTTCGTTTCATATTAAATCAATATTTAATTTAATTTTTTATTTTTTTATTTATTTAATTTATTTTTTTTTTTATTTATTTTATTATTTTATTTTTATTATTTGGATTTCAACAATTTTTAATTAAATTAAATAAAATTTCAAAAAAATTAAAATTTTATTAATATATTTTTTCTTTTTCCCATTTTTTTTTTATTTCATTCTTCTTTATTATTATATATCGTAATATACATACACACGTATATGTACGTTATAATAATAATAATAATGAATTCTACAAAAATATTTTTCAACACTAATAAATATAACGGTAAATACGAACGAAAAACAACATGGCTGATACCACCATGAATATATTAATGAAATGTGGTGGGAAATTTGTTAATCTTCTGAAAATAAACAAAAAAATAAATAAATAAAAAATATAATTTACCGGTAAAATAACAGTACTGGATGTTAAGTAAAGCTGGAGAAATTCGTCGTGACGAATCATGTTTAGATTATGCTGGCCAAGATGTTATGTTGTATCCATGCCATGGTTCTAAAGGAAATCAGGTAAATATTCTTAAAAATTAAAATAAAATAAAATTATTAATATTATGGAAATTTCGTTATTGCACTGCTTATTTATTATGATTACAAGAATATAAACTGTTCTTTTACTTTTGTAAACAAAATATTGATGAAGATTATGAGTACGAGTTTTTTTTTATATTTTACAACAAATGCAAGTATGTATGTAGATACTGGACAGGACTGGTTAAAATGCTACTCCCTGGCCATTTGTTGCCCCTTGAAGAGTGTTTTTGTGGCTCTCAATAAATGTACACAAATCCCCTTTTCATTTTTGTGTTATTATATTTTAAAAAATTATTATTCTTTCGTGTTTCGATGTGGCCTTTAAATCACTGGAAAAAAATATTAAACCAAAAATGCTACATTAGCACAAGTTAAGAATGATATCAAAAACAGCATATGAATGAAGATAAACAGTGACGTAATTGATTCCATGCAAATTTTAAATTTATAAATTTTCATTGAACTGGATAGTGGATATTGAGTTTTTTGAGGAAACTATTTGTAACACTCTTGTTATACTATTATAATAAATTGTAATCTGAAATTTTGATTAAGTTAACTGTTAATACAGTTTTAATAGATTGAACTATTAAGCAACTCATCTACCCCTGACATATTAAGTATTTCTGAATAAAAATAGGAGTGCATGTGCGTATAAGATAGTGAAAATTTAATATATGTATATGTAGGTGGGAAGTTTATATGTGAAAAATCATCTCAGAAGTTTCATATCCCCAATTTATTTAAAATATTAGTTAGGGATATTAACAAATGCTATTTGTTTAGAACATCGGTTGGATACCTCATATATCCGACTAACGTTTTTTTAAACACAAAAATTTTTAATTGCTACAAAGCTCTTTTTTCTTATAATTAATTTCAGCGGAAAGTACTTGAAGTACAACCGAACCAACTATTACGAGTAACTTTTAAGTATAAACGTGATTTTATATTAATTTTTGTGGCTAAACAAATTCTATCCCAAAATAGGATTCATTTGATAAATTCTTCTTATTCATTGAGAGAAATTATTGTAAATATTAGACCAAGAAATCTTTACAAAATAAAGCTTCCTGTTTCAATACAATTATAACAATTTTATCAGAATTCTAAAATTTACCCAGAACATTACAAATATAATTTTGAATCTTCAATCAAAATGAATAAAAGGGTTTTTTTTTATTTATTCACAATTTAAAAATAATGAAAAATAATGAATATAGACTTCGAAAATGAGACCCAAAATAAAATTATACTTTTTTTTTAAGAACACATGTCCTACCACAAAATTTTGTTCAAAAATTTCTCAGCAATAACAAGCCAAATACGTATGTAGTTACTCCATATTTTTTTTAGAGTCCAAATCCCTTAGCTCACTGAAAAACAAATATTTTAAAATTTTTTTTTTTGGATTTGTGAAATTCTATTGATTTCGGGAACCTTTTCTACAGATCTTTTCTACAATAGCCAAGAAAATATTTTTATAAATAAGAAAGTGAATTGAAAAAGTGAATTAGCTTTATACAAGAAACCAAAAGATTTAAATATGATTTTAACCCTGCAAGGAACCTTATTACCAAAGAGGAAAAAAACATAAAATGGAGAAAATGGTATCCTTATGGTACACATAAAATATCCTTTTGTTCCGTTTTTATTTTACCTTACTTTTTTTCTTTATTCTTATTTATTCAATGTTTATTTTTTATTAAAATTTTTGAATTTGCTTACCTGTCTAAATGTTAAGCCCCTGTATATTTTTTAGTTTAGTTTTTTTTACTGTTGTTATTTAAAAAAAAACTCAAGGATATTAATTTTTATTATTAAATAAATTTTCTTCTCAGAATTCTGGTATTATATTAGAAAGATAATAAAATTTAAAAGTGTATGATATTTAATAATTCTGCAAAAAAAAAGGATATAAAAGGAGCGCAGTGAAATACGAAGGAATAATGAATAGAGAAGGATTATTACTATGGCTACTTTAATAGCAGGTGGTAAATATTTTATCGCTCTATATTTCCTTGAGTTTTTTTTTATTTTTGATTAAAATAATGACCAACCCAAATAATTAAAATCAATAAGTTCATTAAGGATTAAGGAGTTTTTGTTTTTTTTTTCTTCTTGCAAATATTTCGGAAATTTAAGAATATTAACACCATTAGTGTTTTAAACTTTGAAAGAGTGCCTTTTGAAAAATTGGAAATGGTAAAAATTATGACTTTTATATGTCCAAATGCGGTTCAAGATTCTAATTTTCCGGCAAAAGTTATTGAACATAATTAAGAGCACACTTTTTGTTTTCACATTAAATTAAAGCAAGTTTAACTTCTTCAATAATTTCGAAAAAACATTTCGAAAATGTTCCATTTGAAATTTTCATGTCGAGTTTTAGACCATAAAATTTTCCTGCTTTTTCTCTTTTAAAAATTTTCGTATTTAATATTTTCGTGCAAGCAAAAACCATTAAGGTTTAATGCCAAAATTTTCACTTTTATTAAGTTTTTTACGTTAAAGGGTATATCGTCTTTCTTAATAAATTTTTAATTATCATTATTATGATTTTTATTAAAATATTCATTTTTTTTTTCAAAAGTAGTAATTATACTTAAAAGGTTTTCACTCTTAATTAGAAAAATTTAGCGAAATTTTAATTTGTATGCCATTTTTTTTTCCTCAAAGGAAAAATTTCAAATAATTTTTAATTAACAAAATTTCATTTCGAACATTTTAATTGAGCTCATGGGTAAATGAATTCATTTAAGTATTACAAAATCGATTGAAAATAATTTTTTATCTGTCTTACAACATTCTACATTATGTTTGTATGTTTAAAATAATTTCACTAATAACGTATAAAAGTTTTATCAATGCGCCATTGAAATTGGTGCTGCAAAATGTTTGAAAAAAAAATACTATCTAAAAAACTCTTAGCGTATTAGATTTAATTAGATTTCGTGTTTTTCGAGCTATAAAATGTAGGAATAGGAAAAAGTTGAAAATTGAAATGAAGCAAGAATTTTCACTTAAGCTTAACGTGATTCTAAGATATAAGATGGAACCTGCTATGCCATTAAAGGCTATTAGAAAGCAATTTTAAATCCTACTTTATTAAGCTGGACAAAGAAACTTGTTAACTGAGTACTTATTCTGTTTTTCTATACATTTGTATTAATTTAATAAAATTGTGACATACTTATTTATGTCGTATACACAAAGTTTTCAGCATTTTTAGTTGCAAAGGTGGCAAATACAAAAAAAACTGATTCGTTCGGTGCATCTGTACTAATTTTAGCAAAAAAATGGTTCAAAATATGCTTATAAATTAAAATCTTGGTGAACAATAAAAATAATTTCCTTTATGATTAACGAAATATACGTTATTAATTGTCTGACTAATAATAATTTTGGGTAATAGTTGCCTATATTAAAACTGTTCATATTTAGAAAGTGAATCGCGAAAATTATGCTCGGCACTAAATTCCAAAAAGTTGTTAATTCCAACTCTACTGTGATTCCAATATTTTAGATGCCACAATTTCAATATTATTAAAAATATCTTTACAATTTTTAGATTTCTCAGAACAAACAATACTTTAAACAATAAAGCGGCTTAATTTATACTGACCATTAAAAATTAAAAAAGAAATTGTTTTAACTTCAAAAACTTATTTATGAACAAAAAATCACCACCTTGTTTAAGTTAAATAAAAATTTACTAAAAAAAATTCCCTCTTTTTTAGCTCCCCTTTTTGTAGCCGACCGCATTGCCCACAATAAGAGAGGATATGTGATGGCATCAAATTTTGCTACCAAATTACACTTCTCCATGGTAGCGAATAATTGTAAATAAACTGTATTTAGAGAGATCTGTCTGTCTCTAACTATCTGCCGGTCTGTCTGCACTCATGCATTCCAAGTTCGACTGAACCGATTTTAATGAAATTTTATATATGAGTTTAATTCGGAAACTGGATTTTAAAGGAAAAATTTAATTTATTAAATTTAACTTGAAATTTAATGTAGAAATTCGAGGTATTAAAACAATGAACCTGTAATTTTTTGGAAAGATCAGGACTTTTGAGTCGAACTAGGGGCGGATTTTTGTTTTTTACTATTTCTATACGGAATTTCTTGAAATTTAATATTTGAGTTCTAATTTTATTAAAACTAAAACTAACAAGCGAACTTTTCAAGGAATTCAGATGGCATAAACCGAAGCTCTACTAAGGGTCAAAATTACATTTTTCTAGATATGGTAAAATCTCACTAACTGCCTTAAAATTGGAAAGACGTGTTTAAAAGGAATTTTCATAATCTTCTGTAGCACTTTCGCTCCTGGAAAGCAGACAGTACACATTGCTGTCGGTTATGTGCTGACCTCATTAGATTTTTCTTTTTTGTTCTCCATTTTAATGTCCGCAATAAAATAGTAAAGTAATTTTTTTTTTACATTTTTGTTCTTTGAATGACAATCAAAATTTCCGAATTTTTAATTAACAAATTTCTCTTTTTTTTTCATTTTATTAACGAGGCCAAAGAAAAAAGTCAGATATTTAATCCGGAAATAGAAAATCAATCTCAGAAAATCCTTAAAGAAGAAAGAAAATTAAATAAGCCTATAATCCATAAGAAAAAAAAATGAACATTATGGGATCTATGGTTTCATTATTCCTTTGACAAAAAGAAAAAAAAACAATATGAAAAAAAATATCCTTTTTTTTATTCCTTTTCTTTGCCAAAACTTCATAATGAACGGTTTCCTAACAATAATGAAACTTTTCTTAATTAGAAAATGAATTAATCAAATCAGAGAAATAAAAAATAAGAAAGTGAAAAAGAAAAAATAAAAACGCAAAATTCAAAGGAACGAAAAAAAAATTCAAATTCAATACATTAAAAAAAAGTCCTTATTTTTTACTTTTGATTTTTCATATTACATATATACATGTATATGTACATCTATGTGTGTTGTGTAGGTACTATTCAGAGTAGTAGCCGATAAGAGTAAAAGCTTAATTACTTGGCATTATAACTTTGTTTGTTTAAATTCAAAGGTCCAGTGATAATGACCAATTTAAAATATTATGAATTTTATTATAGAAATTTTGACTTATGGTAGATTTACCATAAATTCATAAAAATTACTGACCACAGTATTACAATTTATTAAAATATAAATAAAATTGTGTAAATTGGCTACACAAGCTGTTTTAGCTGGTTTTCTTGAATAAAAACTTTAAGAATAAGGAGGAAAAAAATGATAAGTAAGTAAAAGGATGGCAAGTGTTTTGTCCGTACACCTTTATAAAATTTTGAAATGGAAAGCATCAAAAATTTATAAAACGCTCTTGTAACACGCATTCTTTGCGAGATTTTAAAATTTCTCAAATCTATTTTTTTGTACTTACAACAATTACCATTTTAAATCAAAACTAAAATAACTCTGAAAAATCTTTTATCTCCGCTTAGAAATTGCTACTAGTAAAACAAATAGACTATATTTTATAGGCTACACTTTTATACCATTGATTGGGAGCAATCTCTAAGTACGTTTTTAGTATCAAGAATTTTGCGGATGAAAAATTTTCTAATTATTCTAATTATTCTAATAATTCTAAGTTAATTCTAAGACTCTGATTCTGTTTTTTTCTTTCTAATTCTAAATGCGAACCTGAAAAACACCAACAAAAAATTGAGGGGCTCAGAAGTAGAGCGGCGTAAACCAAAATGTGGGTTATGTCACTTTGCTTTTGAAAAATCAGAAAATTTTTACAAAAGCAAAAGTATTTTTGGGAAAAATAAATAGGAAAAAAGCTATTTCGAAACTGGAAACTAATATTACTGATTTTAGAAGATGTACATAACCGATTGCAGAAAAAAAATTTTTTTTTTATTTGTGGCTTATGCCACTCTGCTTCTGAGACCCTCAATTAATAGATCAATTTTTAAATTAAGGTTTAATAATAAAGATTTTGCAATATTTAAAAATGAACAAGATGCTTTCTTTTGATTAAAAAAGTAAATTTTCCTAGGCTAATAATTAATAGGGTATTTTCGATAATTTGGATTAGATCCTTAAAATAAATCACATTCGATCTCAACAGTACAAAATTTGCAAATGTACAACATGTTCGATAAATCTGTGCTACAAAAAAGCATATTCGAAAATCGTTGCATTCTTAAAATTCTAATGCATTTTTAAAGATTTTTTTTAAATGCTGAAAAATGTCAGACACTCAGGAATTGCTGCTTTTAAGGAGAAGAGAAAATGAAAATTCCTTTGGTTTTTGAAATTCCAAACTTGTAATTGTTCTTAAAAGGATTTTTAAGATTTTAGTTAAAAATTTAAGTGCATATTTGAATTTTTGAAAATAATTTCTATTTCCTTAAATAAGATAGACTTTTCATATTCACAAATAAAAACTTTGATATTAGGTATCAATGCTAATTAAAACTTTTCATTTAAATTTTAAAAAATTAAATAACCTGCAATTGCTACACAAAATGTTGACCTTATTCTTAAATTTTCAAAAGAGCAAAAGAGCATCAGACACCTCAATTTTCTCTTTGTTTGTAGTTTTTTTTTTGTTAAAATTATTATTCATTACTTAAGGGAGCTTTTAAAAAAAAACTTTTAGATCTGTTTTTAATTATTAATCCACGGTAACTGGCGAAAATCATATGGCATTCAATACTCAGTTCTTCTTTCTCTCCTTGGACTCTAGAAATTTTGAACCTTACCAATAATGTTATTCTTGTTATAAGCAAACAATTTTATTATTAAATTTCCAATGACCTTTTCGTTCCTGAATTTCAATTCTCATTATAAAATAAATAATAATTTTATACTTTAATTTTCTTAAATTGGAAATAAAAAATTTTTATACTGGAGAAAAGTAATGTCCTTTAATTGGACCAAATTTTGTATGTTTTTTGCATTTTTTTATTATTTTTGTTTGTTTATTTTTTTTTTTTGTTAACAATTAATCTTAGTTTCCATTTAGAAATTATTTCTCTTTATTTTAAATTACAAGTCGTTAACAATAGCTAGGACATTCTCGAGGATTATTTGAAACAGCAATTTTCTGTAATTAAGCCTTTTTATTCCAATATCCTTTTTTTTTTTTGCTGCAAATGAATGTTTTGTTTGCAATTTTTTCCTTTTTACTTTTATTTTGTTTTTCTTATCACAATAATTTTTTTATTTTTTATTATTGTTTTCGGTTCTTCATTGTTTACTTTATGAAAAAAAAATACTGTTATCCTTTCCTCTTTTTTTTTTTTTTTTGCCTGTATATAATTTTCATAGATCCTTTTTTTAATGTCGTTTTTAAAGCAGAGACCTTATCGTAATAATTATTTGTTAAAATACCAATTTTGAAATGAAAAACATAAAAGAAAAATTTTTTTTTATGTTGTTGAAAATTTTTAAAATTAATAGACCTTGTACTTTTGAAAAATTATTAAAATAAATAAATATATCTTTAAAAATATTGTTCAAGAAAAGGATTGGTTATGCCAATTTTTACCGACTGAAGTAAGAGATTTTCCTAAAATTATGGTGCATTTGTTTTACTTACTAATTGCAAATTTTGATATAATGAAATTGGAGTAATTTCAAGAGCCGCTAAGCACAAGGTTTTGGAAATTATATGAAATATAATTATAAAAATTTAAATAACAAGGTAAATAAATTCAAATAATAGAAAATGGCGAAGAGATATGAAAACTGGTTGTAATTTTTAAAAATATTTTATTGACAATTGCTGACTGGTTTAGAACAAAAGGTTTACGGAATTGGATTCTCTACAAAAATGTTGAAGAAAAAGATTAGAATAAAAAAATTTTCTCTTGACTAGTCTCGGGACTCTTGACAGAATTCGCGAATTCGTTCTTATCCAAGCTCGAAAAATTGTTTAAAAACATTGTTTAAATTTCAACTTTCCCCTGAATTTGTTTGTAGTTAAACGTCAAAATGATATTCAAATATTTATTTATATGCAAAATGAGATATCGGACCGACATTGGTATAAAAAAAACAGATACGACAGACAAGTTCTTGTCGGTGTAATTGCATGCAGTTAGTTGATAATCACCTGTAACTATGGAGCTAATTTTCAATGTAAATCGACTTCTTAATGTTGCGGGAAGTAAATGAAAATTTTTCAGGGGTATCCCGGTATATGGTTTTTCTATATTTAATTATCATGAGGAAATTTTGTATTTTGTATTTGATTAGTTAGAAAACAAATTATTGGACCTTTTTTTGTCTAAATTTACTTTTTGCAAGTGAGTCTGTTCAAAGGCTTATTTTTGGCATTTTTCCTAGATCCAAAAAGTATTACAAAAATTTTTAAAAATTTAAGTTATAAAAAGCATATTATAGGACCGACTGACCCTTTATTTTAATTTGTATTGTTTATTAGTATATCAAAATTCAGGCGATTTAGTCTGTTTGACTCTTTTTCAATTACAGCTATTGACAAACTAGTACATCTAAAACTGTTTTAGTGAACTTATTGTTCATTTGCAGCAAAAGTGACCCAACTGAAAAAATACAATTTCTGAGTTATCTGTTATTATCTGTTATACAGAAATAACAGCAATTAAAAAATTTTTTTTTCTGCAAAAACACCATTTATCTACTTGATAATTGGAAAGTTTGAAATGCAAATATTTTTTGTTATGTCAGTGTTGCAGCTGTGCTTATAGAGTTTTGATTTAATAGTTATTTACTTACTTATACTAAACTGTTAAAATGCTAATTTCATTTCCATTATAATAATTTAATTTTTTTTATATTTTTTATATTATTATTTTAATAGTTCTGGCAATATATGGAAGAAACACAACAATTACGTCATGGATCTTCAGAAAAATGTTTAGCAATTAATTTAACAAAAGATAAATTATTAATGGAAGACTGTGATGCCAGATATCCAAGACAGAAATGGCGTTTAGAAAATTATGATCCATCAAAACTCTGAGGGTATATTTTTTATAGGACAAATAATATAATTAATATTAATACTAATAATAATAATAATAATAATTATAATAACAAAAAATTAATAATAAATAGTTTATTATCAAATTATAATCATAGCTCAAATTATATAATCTTACCAGAATCAACGGTGCACAAAATTCAAAATGATAAATACAAAACTGGTAATAATAATAAATATTTTAATAATTTATATCAATTTAGTGAAAAAATGTTCATTTTATGAAAGTAAACAAAAAAAAAATTCAATAAATTTGAAATATAAAATTTTTAAAACGATAAACTTTTGTTTTCGAAAAAAAAATGAATGTTTTAAATGAATGAGAAATTCAAATGAGAATAAAAAAAAATGAATGAAAAAATCATATCAAGCAAATTATTAAAAAAAAACATTAAAATTTAACAAAATTAAATAAAAAAAAAAAAACAAATACAATTGAACTCGTATAAAAATTACGATGCGATCCTGTGACGAAACTTTAGGATAATATAAAAAAATTTTTAAGTACGTATGTAAATGCTTTTTTCTATAAAAAAAATATTATTAAAAAAACAAACAAAAAATACAAAAAAAAAATGAGAAAAAATTATAAAACTAAAATTTAAAAAGAAGAAAAACAGAACAAAATACGAACAAAAATTACACAAAACAGCTAATAGAGACTTTCAACTATAGGAAACTATGATTCATGTATTATAAACGTAGCATTTATTTGTCATAACAGAGTTTGAGATGACTTGTTAAATAAGCGGTTGATTGCAAAATAAATGGTTTCAATTTGATTAACGCAACTATTTCAACAGTACCAATTACACTGTTGCTAGTAAAAACTCGGTTTTCAGAAAAATCTAATAACGGAAAGTGAATTTGGAATAAGTAGCAAATTCACGTTTTTGGTGCCGAAGATATTAATTAAAAACTTCCAGATTTTCTTGAAATTTGTTGAAAGAATAAAAAATTTATTGAAACTTTTGAGTTTCACTCTCAAAAACAAAATGCAGTGTGATCGATTTTATATTGATCTGATCTGATTTTTATACCTTTACGAACGTATCCTCGTAAGGTATTATTCTCCGAAATTTGCTTTACCGTTGTTTGTAACGCTATAAGAAATAATGGTGTAAATTATAGAAATAAGTGTATAATTTCGATCAATATCGAATTTTGGATTGATTTAGTCATGCCTGTTTGTCTGTTCGTCACACCCATATTTCAAAAACTAATTGGAATCATGAAATTTTCATAAATGATTTATAATAGTAAATGCCGGAACCCTATTTAAATTGAATGTGATTGAAGCAATTTGTTCGGGTGGCTGTCATACAATTTTAATTGTTATTAGGTCATATTTTAAAAACTACTTAAGGTGCAGTACGAAAATTTTGTATAAACAAATAGGGCGATATGGCCACTTTTTCGGTAAGAGTTATTTAGATATCATGAACGCTTATGATTTCTGTCATACGATTTCCAAAGGTTCTTTGTTTTATTTGAATTTATTGAAGCTATAATATAGAAATTTCGTGCAAACTCTTATATTATTTGGGCTATATTATGTATGTGTGATAAAAGTAGTTTCAATTTCTTGATTCCTTCTGGAATGTGCTTGTACTCGTATATCTGAAAATTTCAGTAGTTTTATGGCAGATTCCATAAGGAATCAAGAATATTTCAAGATAGCCACAATAATATAGTTGTTTGTCGTAGTTGTTGTAGTTGTATGGCAGATTTAGTTTGTTGGTATTAGTTTGGTCACATCTTAGAAACTATTGAAATTACAGTACAAAAATTTTCGTAAACGACATGATATTGCCATTATTTTCAGTAAATATCTTTCAGATGGTATGAGTTTTTGTGGTGACCGTCATATATGATGTATAAAATAGCACTATAAAAAAAAGAAGGTCGGTGACAATTACAGTACTTAAAATAAATTACTGAAATTATTACAATACAATTCTTGAAATCATTCATTCGTACGGATATCACAAAATTGACACGGCCAACTTAACCTATTCTCGTTTTTTTTTTTCATCAAAGAGAAAAAAGAGTGAATAACGCTTTTCACATTTCTATAAACAAATATTAATTAAAATTTATTCAAAAAAAAAAATTGAATTTCAGTTAAAATTTTGCAATACTATAATCCTGTTAAACTATTAAGATGTTCGCATCCATAAATTTTAATCGGGATAATCCTCTACTTTACTAAAAAAAAAAACAAAATAGAATCATATTTTTGCTAATTACTAATTAGGTATACTTATTTATCATTAATTATTTAATTTATCAAAAAATAAATGAATAAATGAATTTTTAATACATGAATCTTTAATAATTATTCTAGTTTTATACATATACTTCCCAAAATACACATATTATTACATAAATACCATACACTTAATAATATTGTGTGAAACACACATAATACAGAACATAAATTTTAGTTAAAAAATAATACAAGACTATAAACGTTAATAATTATTATATAAAAAAAAATAATTGCCATAATTATGTGGAATTTATGTATTTAAAAAATCTATGTATGTGTATATGTATTAAATAATAATATATATGTTAATATATGAACAAATTAATAATATAATTGTAATATCCTCTTATGTAAAAAAAAAAATTAACTAATTATTATGTATTTAAAAGAAAAAAAAAACAAAAAAAAAAGTTATACAAAACATATTATAGAGCTTACGCAATTAATTTTTAAAATATAGTGATATACGCATAATATATAAGAATTAAGTCTATATATATACTTATTATTTGTACATAAATTATACACATTATATATGTATGTAGAATTTATACAAATTGTTAAAATAATTCAATTAAAATTTTTTTTTTTACCAATTTTTTTTATTTAACTTAAATTTTCCCTTTGTTTCTCTTTTCCTATATAAATTAAAATTGACAAAGAACACAAAAACATGCATTTAATTTTAAGATTTTTGAAAAATTACAATAGTTTTATATATTTTTATTATCTGCTTTTATATAAAGAGTATATAAAATTAACTTGAATTACTTATTATAAATTAATATTTTTGTTAAATATAAATAATATAAATGCAGATATAATGAATAAATGAATATTTCCCTAAAAAAAATAAAAATTCAAAAAGAGAAAGGGTTGTATTCAGAGTAAAATTTTTGAAATCGAACGCTTTACAATTGACTGCGTCCTAAAATTTTAAAATCTTATTTTAGATACGGTTTTAGAAAGTCCCATTTCATATTAAATATAATTTTCATTAAGTTTCAATTTCTGGAATCGCCCATATGATAAACAAGCTGCAACTCTGTGGACCTGTTTTAAATAGAGACCAAAAACTGATATTTCCTTTTTATTTTTAATTAAAAATAAATTAAATCTAAAGTAAGAGAAAACGTCAACCATAGTTTTGAAAAATTCAAAAATGTCGACTCTGTACTATGTACGTAGTTATTTTTTTGTCTAAAAAATATTTAGTTAAAATTTAAATTAAAAGTAAATATTTTTCTATTATCTACTGTTTAAAAATTATAAATGGGACAAAAATTTGTTAAAAAAATTGTCAATATTCCTTTTTAAAATCTCCCGGTGGTTTAATGGTTTTTGAACGATCTAATGTAATAAATTTCCTAGAATTATTAATAATTTTTTGCATAACTATGCATTTGTGAACCAAGCCGCCGCACAAGTGAAAATTTGAACAAATTTTTTATTTCTAGGAAAACGACATTTTGAAAATATTATTAAAATAATGCTAATAGCAGGTTTTTAAATCAAATCGAAAAAAAAAATATTAATGTTTATGAAGATTAAAATTTTACAAAAATCAGTTTCAGTGAAATTGTTTTTAAAAATTTTTCAAAAACTTTTTTAAAATCTTTAAAAGCTGATCCACACAACGCTGAAAATTCTAGCTTTATTACGAGTATCACAAATCATCGTGTTTTATATGTTCAACTTTTCTTACATGCGCTTTTTATTCTGGATACTGTATCTGAGCTTTAAGACAAAAACGAAATTATTTACGGCTTTTTTTATATTTTTCTACATTTCTATAAAATAGAAAATTTTAGAGAAGCAAAAAATTCAAGAAGAGTGCGTGCATTTTTAAAAAATAAATTTAAGTAAATTAATTTTAAATTCGATTTAGATTCATTATAAAATATTGTTTGTCTATGTATATGTGTATGTGTAACATTTTTATTATATAAGAGAAATTTTACTTAAATATTTTATTTAAATAAATGAACATTTATTTAAAAACAAAACAAATAATAATAAAAAAATTAATTAATTAATTTTAATATAAAAATTTTAATTTTAAATTTTAAGAAAAATTAAAAAATATGAAAAAATTTTTATTTGTTTAAATTTTTTTTTTAATTTAATTTAATTTTATTGTTGATGTTATTTTTTTTTTATTTAAGTGTAAAATTATAATAAAATATTATTTAGATTTTTTTTTTATTTATAATGTGGTGATATGTAAGATTTTGTCAGTTTCCTCAAGGACTTTATTAATTGCAATTGTAAAACAAAAAAATTAAAAAAAAAATTTCTATGTGTCAAATTTTAAATTTTGCTTAAAACAAAATTTATGTGTGCGTGTGCTTTAATTTAGTTAACATTTTTTAAAAAAACAATTTTACATAACGTCACCCGAATACAATTTTGTTCCATACACCACTTTTATAATTTTGAATAAAGAAGACTTTCATAGGTTTCCAAGGACGGTATATCAGAATATGCAATCCGTTTTTCGCTATATCTTTAAATTTTCCACATATCTAGATTTCATTTTGCTCTACCTCCATTTCTAAGTCAATTTTGCTATAACGATTTGCTATAATTTTTTTTTTGTATGACATGGATCTTCATAGCATATTAACATACTGTGAAACGTTATTAAATAACTAAATTTTGGTTTTTACATAGTGCGAGAACTTTGTATCCGTATAACTTATTCTTTCACTATTTAATTATACTTGTTCCAATTATTTTTCAACTACATTGGCTAAACAGAATTTTAGGCTGATTGGCGATATGTTATGCTTTTATATTACGTTCGTACTGCAGGCTAATCTGCCAATTATTTATAAATTCCATACAAAATTTAGCTATGCCCTTCACTAACCTGCAGGCTATAAAAAATTTTTATTTAATCTTTCAATTCAATTGTGTTAAATGTTCACATTGTTTTATTAAATTTAAACTTGTTGTTCTCGTTATTTAACTATTTTTGTGATACATGTATTTGAGAAATTAGGAGATATAGAGAACAAACTTT